AACAGTGCTGTGGCCTGCACGACAAGTGAAGACAGGCCATCTAAGTATCTAAGCATCTAAGTAAGTATATATTTCTTACGGTTTGTTATGCGCAATTCATCCCCAAACTAGAACGCATGCTTTGGCCAGGCTGTGAATCTTCATAACGTCCTTTATTCGTTTTTGATAAGATATAGGCACAATAAATGTATGCTGCAGATGCTTCTATCTAAGCCACAAACGTGATTCAATATGCTTACTATGGAGGTACAAAAATCGCGAGGAATTACAAATATTCCCAATTTATTGTAACAGTTCGGCCAGACTACTTTTTACGTGCTTCGTATAAATGGATTAGTTTCTAAAACACAATAACAAACCTGGCCAGGCAAGCTTCTCCATAGAATCAATACATCTTTCCTTGGGAGTGAGGTTTCCTTCATTACTTACAAAACCGTGCGTGATATGTGCTGAAAAGGTTCGAAGGAGTAGATTAAGAGAGCAAGTCATTAAGAAACATCGATGACATTCAGCCAGAAATAAATGAGTTGTTATCTAGCAATTGTATTTAAAAAAGACGGTAATTCTAGAACGTGTGGTAACTCAAGGATGAGGAGAGTACGTGAATGGAGCTTCTCAACGAATTCAATAGTTTGCACTCTTAACTGTGCAATTAACTCCAGTCACTGATTCCCCCTTCCGACGAGAAAAAGAACAAGTATGACAACAGCCCTTATGAACAGTTCTGCCAACTTCATTATTTTTTTGTGAGGTTCAAGCAGACCAGTTCAATGCTTTGAAGAGGTTATTTATAATGGATAAGGGAAATATGTTGTAAGTGAAACACGTATTTCAGTACGAAGGTGACAGAAGACAAACTTTAGCTCTAATTCATTAATTTGAGGATACCAACGTAATCATTTCATGCACTGGCCTCAAACGTACCTGAAAACTCTATAGAGAATCCAATGCTGAGAATTATAGTAATCATAAAGATCGGGTCCAATTTTACGCCCCATAGCGACAAGAAACCAATAACTCCTGGAATATTGCAAAAGTTAAACATTAAAATGTCGATGCTATCCACTCCATCAATAGATTTCTGCTTTTTTGACGTTAAGGGGATCACCCAACTTTTATACTTTGATCAATTTGAAACTCACCAATATCGATTGTAATGATGGCAATAGTAATCCATACGGCACATAATGGGTTGGGAATAAAGAGCAGACTGATTATTATCATACAAACGACTGCTAGTGAGTCATTTTGGATGGTTGATTGCAAAATCACATTCAGCTGAAAAAATTCTTTACTTTTATGATTTCATCGTTTTTCTGATCGATACCTGATCCGCGATAGGACGACTGTACTGGTAGGTGAAAATTTCAAGATCCGGATACTTTTTAGCGAGATTCCTCAACTCTGACGACACCATTACTAGGTCAGTAGGAGTAGATATGTCGTTGAGACCAATTCGGAAGCGGAATGATACAAGGGAAAGTTGATCATAGTCCGACGTGTTGGCCCAGACAAAGTCCTGCGACCTACGAGACTGGCATCAGCAGAGAGTTGAGAGATTAGAAGGTGTTTGCTCACGAATACATAAAGGATGGAAACGGCTTGCAAATGGAAGTAAGAATAGGGAAGCAAAATAAATCTAGTAGCATATTAGCAGCTATAACTAATGGCACTTTATATGATTTTTCTATAGAAAGCTCTAACTCGCAGCGTGAAGAGCATAAAACGCATAGCTTTCAACACATGCTACTTCATTTTCTTCTTTTCCTCGCTGTATGCTAACATGGTTCTTCCTCCAGCCCTCATAATATAAACCCAACATTTTATGAGCCTTGAGGAAGGACTCAGATGCCTTTGGGATCATCCAAACTTGGGACGTTTTGGAATTATTAGACAGTTCCACAGCTACATTAAACCAAATACATGTGCTCCTTAATTTATTTGTCAGATTAGAGCAGAGGTATTTATGGTGTTTACTGTCAACCACAGATACGATATTGTAGAACGTATGTTCCACAGAGTTTTGATATACAAAGCTGAAGCTTAGAGTCTCTAGGCCTGTAGCGCCAATGAACTGTAGGATGACCACTACAACAACCCGGGTTTATCGTTTTAAATGGCTTTTTACCATAAAACAGGACCTTCTAACAAAATATTTGTTACGCACGTCCTTGACAAGTTCCTACTGTTTGGGGAATACGCGAAATTGAAGAGAAATGCCCAAGCGTGGATTCCCGTATTTTCTTTATTAACGTAAAGATACCGCATGAGGTGCTTCAATTCATGTTACCCTTGACTATAAGAAAGCAACCAACCATAACTTGTAAAATGCGAAGAGCTGCGACCATTCGTACACTCCAATCACCCACGATTCTCGATTATCTTCTA